GCGCGGTCCATGTGCTTCGCTCGTCATCTTGCGACTTGGTAGGGATCAAAGGTGGGCTTCCTCTTCCTGAAACGTGACATCTGGACGCCGTGAATCGACTCAGAATCTCGATTTAATCTCGCCGAGGCCCCAGATGCGAGGCAAACCGCTGTAAATTATCGCTGTAAATACCATTTGGCGTTTTTATCTACGCACAACGAGTATGAAAAGATACTCTACCTTTAAATAAAAAAAAAAAAAAAAAAATTATAATACTTTTACAATTGGTTTCCAATATTAAATTAATTATGGACTAGTGAATCATAGAGTTAAACGCAAGATATAGCACGTGAGATAAATTACGAATCAAATGTGAAATATTACACTTGAGATAAATTATAAAATTATAAAGTATTTATAACAATTTGAAAATTTCTCGCAAGTAAGATTTCTTTTAATTAATACATTACATCCTTCGCTCCATATATACACGTACGCTATCGCAGGACAACCTCGCTTCCCTGCGGAAGGCCCCTTACGTCCGTCGTTGGCTCACACACGCTTACGCGGGCGTGCATATAAACGGAAACCCTTCAAGTAGCCTACCATCCACCTCATGTGTACAGACACTTCTGTCACGCACGAGTGGAGGGAAACGCGTAAGGTACAAGTGCATGCGTATAGGCGCACTGCGTGTAGGTGTAACTCGTTGCACTTATGTACGTACATACACACGTACGTACATCTACAATTCACCCCTCGTTTCGCTGGACGCGAAGGGGTGCCGAGGGGGATACCGGGGTGGCAACTCTTTAGCAGGTGCGAGCGAGTGGGTGCGTTTCTCCATGCAGAACGGAATCTACAGCGAATCCGAGACACACTAAATAGTTCCTCTCTTCCTTTCTCTTGAAAACGCGCTTTTCAGCATTTTCATGTTCATTGCTATAACGTTCGGTATCTTCATAAAAACATTATACATGAGAATCACGATTTATGCATCGTTTCGTAACTTGCTATCGGAACGGACGAGATATGACGTGAAATGTTTATGCATCAAACGCATAATCATTGTCAATACTATTGAAAATTACAAGCGACATTCTGCGTCATATCAACGTTGTGATAAGGACTTCGTAGGTACGTGAAAATCGTCAGAAAACGCCGTAAAAAGGGTTATATTACATTCTCCATAACATTTCCGCGTGAAACTTGCGCGTGTCTGACCTCTAGTTTCTTCCTCGTCATCCTGTCATTCGGACTTCATCCCTCTTTTTGAATTTCTCTTCGTCCTTTTCGAATTAATGCAAGTTGCGAAATCAAGATCCTTTATTTTACATCCTCTGAAATCTTTCCTTGCATTCTTCGAACATTAGTATATCCACCTTGATTAGTATCGCAATGTGTTTTATGCAAATTAAGCAAGGAAGTCGATAAATTATTTAGTATAATAAGTCGTCATAACAAACAATCGATATTTGCTCATTTTATGTAACTTCAAATAATAATTTATTTCAAAGATTCAAGATATCTTTTAAACAATAATTCTTTTTTTCTTTACTGAACATTTTATGCGATTTGCGATAAAATGATTATTTTTATTGAAAATAATGGAATCATAAACAACAAAGGTAAATGAATTGTCTTCGTTATTCATTCGCGTATTAATATCACGTAGAAAAGATTTGCTGTTATATAATTACGAAATTTTCTTCCGCCGTCCTTTTCTCATTGAAGTACTTATATTGTATAAATAATCTTAATATATAACAATACGACTATTTGTTTTAAAACATCCCCTAAAGTTCTCACATATTGTTGAAACAAAAAAAATAATATTAATTAAAAACTATGTGTAGAATTAATAATCTGTGATAATAGCGCGCAATTTCGCGATCTATCTTTGTAGAATGCTTAATGAATCACTGATCGAGGATGCTAAAACATAAATAAGAAATATTCGATGAACTTTGTTATAATCAATAAAATATATAAAAGATTCGTATATATAAGTATTTAAATGTATAAGTATTAAAATACTCTTGATGCGAGTAATGATAGTGACATCTCTCGCTGAAAGATTTTCCATCTATTAAAGATTTTCCATCGCAGAGAAACACGTTGAGTGCGTTCATTGACGCATTTAACAGAATTATGTTGTTCATGATTCGCAATTAACAATGGCAATTAACGATAAACTGACAACGTGTATCTGCCTCTGTCTTACACCGCTGGTAATACATGTTGCAATACACACTTTTACTCGGGTACACATCGTTCATAGAACACTACATTATCGGTACCCACTTTCAATGCTGTTGCCAGGCGCGCTCTATGTCGCAGAATTACAATCGTGAAGAGAATAACGTGAACGACCGTGCGTTTAATAGCGCTTACCCCCTGAAATTAACCCTTTCACGCTAATACGACGTCGTACTCGCAGTATCCTTAGAAATTCGGTATGATCTGGCACGAGCAGCCATGTGGAAACCAGAATAAGTCGGTGTAAAGTCGATTTCCGCTTCCCTCGAGTGCAACTAGTCTCTTTTGCACGAATTGTTGCTGGCATCTACTCTTGTATCCCTCCGGGATGGAGCATATACCGTCGCACACGTCATTCCTAAAAGCACAAAGAGAGAATTGATATTTTCTCATTCTCGGTCTCCCTTAAGTTCATCATTTGATATGATGGTTCTAATGTGACATAAAAATATGACCTCTCCTGAATTAATATCACTTAGAGAAAACGTGAAAATTAAAAGTAAATTAAATTAGAGTGATTTCTGTACAAATATTACAAGTATCGTGGCCCTGTGTTAGATTCCATTGTTAAGACAAAAAAGACAACACGAACACTAATTCAATGAGCATACTTACAAACATTTCTCGCTTCTGACAAGCTGCGAATACTTGTTTTGTTCAGGAATATTAACAACATACATCCAATTACCCTGTTTGTTCAAAGCGGCTCGGGGAGCGATATATTGGGCTCGTGTGGGACACAGAGAAATGATTTCCGAATCCGATTGCCTTTTTACTCGATCGGCCTTAAGTTTCGCGTATCCCAATAATGGATTTACGCTGTAACTTCGCGGTGTTATCTTGTCACCTCGCGAATACCTATTATTTAAGACAAGGTATAAATACATACAGTGAGTGCAAAGAATATACGTACAGGTAATCTTTTTTATAAAAATCTTTTGGAAAAAATAAACACTAATTAATAATTTTATACAATGAATACGTTCCGTTTTAATATAGAATAGAATTTATTTATCTTAGCTTACATTACCAAAAGGGACTTCCGTTCTAATATAAACGAGAGACCTTCGCATGTGTCTGATCTTAAAAACTAAATTTCTCGACTGTACGAATACTTTTTGTACATCTAAACAATTTTATTTTCGCTTATTTTTAAGATAATACGTTTTAATTATTATTATTATATAT